CAAAATATTTTTGGTTTGTTTTATTAAAAGCTGAGGAGATGGTTTACCGACAAATTAAAACAGTGCAATTTTTTGCATTGGTTTTATAAAAAATGCAAACAATTTTTAACCAATCATGTTGAATAATTCAAACAATCAGATCAACCCAGTTTAGCATAATTGGATAGTTGCTTGTTAGTTTTCAGGTAAAATCGCATCAAGGATCTTGATTCAAGATTTAAAATGTGCCGGTAACTCACTTTATGAATGGCTCATTTTTTGGCTGTTTTTTTCGCTCGCGGCTTTTACCGCAAAACATGTGTGTTGATCTCTTCACTTTCTGTCTCTCGTTCTCTTTCACACTTGTTTGTGCCGGTTCCTGAAACACCGCAACACTTTTGACTTCTCTCTTGGATCGCCACCTGACTGACTAGGCCATGGAGGGCGTTGTCTCCTCAGAAGAACGCGAGTTGCAGACGCTGANATTGGATCGCCGCCTGACTGACTGGGCCATGGAGGGCGTTGTCTCCTCAGAAGAACGCGAGTTGCAGACGCTGAAAGAANGCCTGACTGACTGGGCCATGGAGGGCGTTGTCTCCTCAGAGGAACGCGAGCTTCAGACGCTGAAAGAAAAGTTCACACTTATGAGCCACTTTGCCGACAGCTTGAAGACTCAACTGACCAAAGCAGAAGAACAACTGCAGAAAGCACGAAATGAAAACTTTCAGCTTTCACTGAGTGAGTACAAGTTTGTCTTTTCAATTCACTTTGTTAACTCAAACTTTCCTCCACAGCAAGCGAAGCGGCCAAATCGCAGAATGACACTTTGCAGCACGAAAACAAGTCGCTGGCAAATGCCAAAGTTGAGCTCGTTCAACTGTTGGAGCGAGAAAAGGACAAAGTTGCTCGTCTCAAAGAAACCATCAGCAATATTGAATCGTTCAACTCGCAAAGTCAGGCGTCCACACTTAACTGCTCCACGCTCAACGACATAAAGCTCAAGGAGATAGAACTCCAGTTCAAGGAGAAACGCTTCAAAAGTGAGCGAAACTTTCATGTTGAGCAAATTAAGCAAATGAGCGATGAGCTGGAGAGCAAAAATGCCGAGCTGCTGGAGTTACGCAAAAAGCTCAACATTTCCACTATGCAGGCAAACCTGAAACTGGAACAGCAGTCTGCTGAAATTACTAGCTGTCACCTGGAAAACAATCGCCTTAAGGCCATTGTCGACAACAACCAGACAGCTCACGAGGAGTTAAAGAAAAAGTACGCCGAACTGCAAGCCAACTGTGCCAGCTTTGAGAGCAATTTCAGCAAGGAGATCGATGCTCAGACTGAAGTGATTAACATGCTGATGAAGCAGACGGAGGACTTGAAAAGCCAGCTGTCTGCCCNGCTGCTGGAGCTACGCAAAAAGCTCAACATTTCCACTATGCAGGCAAACCTGAAACTGGAACAGCAGTCTGCTGAAATTACTAGCTGTCACCTGGAAAACAATCGCCTTAAGGCCATTGTCGACAACAACCAGACAGCTCACGAGGAGTTAAAGAAAAAGTACGCCGAACTGCAAGCCAACTGTGCCAGCTTTGAGAGCAATTTCAGCAAGGAGATCGATGCTCAGACTGAAGTGATTAACATGCTGATGAAGCAGACGGAGGACTTGAAAAGCCAGCTGTCTGCCCGTGATAGCGAGATTGAAGTTTTTCGCGACATTTCCAAAAAGGGCTATGAGGCACACACCGAGCTTGAGGCGACTTTTGAGGAGATGAAGAACAGCTACATGAAAGATGTCGCTGAACTGGAGGCGGAACGTGATCGGCTGCTAGAGGAGCTTGAAAAGCTCAAGCAAGAGACCTCTGCCGCCAAGGAGAGTCTGACTAAGCGCTGTATTGAGAACGAGTTCAAGAAGGCATTCCCGCTGGCCTACGAGAACGCTCAGC